AGTTAGTTCATTGACCAGGTAGTTGTCCCCCGGATTTCTTGGCACAACCTGGTGAGCATGTCTAGGGCAGCATTTGTTTGCTAAAATATATCATTTGGTATTCCTTCAATTTCTGTGGCCTTGTTCTTTGCCAGTTCCTTCAGAGCAGCTTGGTCTTCCTCCTTCATCATCGTTACCTCTTGATCATATGTTGTTTCGTGAAATTCTTCTATGTCAGACAATTCTTTCTGATACAGTGACGCTGTATACGTCTTGCACTGTTTTTTAAATCTGTTTTTTGTTATTTATTTTATATTGGTTTGCTTAGAAAGTTTATATACATTGTGTTTCACACTATTCTTCATTCACATTGGGTCTTCAATTATAGGACTTATTAGGGAAGTAATAGGCTACGTTTTAGATTGGAAACAGTATACAGCTCTTCCGCCAGGGCATCTTTACAGGTTTGCTTAAAGGCCCTTTCAACCTTCAACGTCGAGGTTCTGGATCAGGATTAACACAACTCTTTCAGTCCTGCAAATTATGGCATCAACCCTAGCTGGTGCGTTTATGTTCAAAATGGCTTTCCTAGTTCTTGAGTTTGACTTTGTCATGTAGATAGGTAGGAATATGCAAGTAGGATATGTTATCGTATCCCCAAGAAAATTGGCTAGTTTCCTCAATCCACAAGGGATTCAATTCATTAAATTAAACAGATCCAGCAACAGAATTTGGGAACTTTACCACCAGCAGAGAAGAAGGAAAATGCAGCATGTTCTTCAGGACTAGAGATTTTTGCACAGACCAGACCAGTGTCTACAGGAACAGCAACCATAGCCTCTGCATCAAAGAACCACATGAGTTGGAGATGACCTTGGGATTGCTACATCACAGAGAACCAGAGCTAAGAGCCTTTGTCTCAGTTTGTTGGAGGACTGGTAGTAAAGAGCCCTACCTAATTGGCAGAACTGACTTAAAGCCATGAGGCTGAAGGCTGAGGTGCCTGTGAACACATTTCGGAAGCTTTCCTGAGTGATTATACTTGACCTTTTGACTTCCCTCATATGGTTCTGTGTGGTCTGTAAGCTATTGTAACAGATTTTGGACCCAGTAAAGCAGTAAGATTGGTACTGGAATGAGCAGAAAGAGGTATAGGAACATGGGGGCATGTCTGGTCTTATGGGAGTTACTTTTGTGTTGTCAGTGTTGTTGAGGGGACAGTTGGTGAAGGTCAGATAATGCTGTCCTCACACAGCCCATGCTCTTTTTTACATAAGAAGTTGTGCTGCCTACCCAAAGGCTCACAGTTTGGATCCACCAGGTTCTCACTCTATAGGAGAAAGATGGGCAGTCTTTATGATTTACAGCCTCTGAAAATCCACTGAAGGGTCAGCAGAGTTGGTTCTAACTTAATGGTACATAACAACAATACTCTACCCTTTCTCACTAAGTCAAGGCAAAGACGTCCCACTCTGCTTCCTGGAAGGCAGTTCCAGGTTAGCTGTCTTATGTTGATTTCTGTTTTTCCTTCCCCTCTGCTGCTACAGCTCCTGGCCCAGCACTCTGCTTCTTTCTTGATGATAGCAAGAGTCACCTCTTGATTACTTTTGAAGCCATTTTAAATTTTTCTATCCAAGTGTATCAGTTTTGTAATTAGACTTAAATAGGAGAATAGAAGCCTAATGGTATGTATACCATTATATTAAAAACCAAAATATTTCTGAAATGCTTGAAAACTGCCATATTTAATATTGTGATGAAATGATGATTTGAAAACAATTTTCTAAAGATAAAATCTTTGTTAATTTGTCAGTTTTACTGTATTTGAGGTCTATTTTTAACATTATAATTCAGTAGTCTATGTGTTTGTAAAAAAGATAGCTCATAGACTTGGGTTATGTTAAAATATTTCTATAGGAAGCTCATTGAGTACTGAACAAATTCTCAGAATTCTGCTACGTGACTTTCTGTTTCAGATGGAAGCACTTTTACATTATTTACATTGCCTTTTAACTGTAGTACCTTACTTTAGAAATCAGTGGCAGTAAAGTTTTTATTAATTTTTTTACCTGATTTAACAACCAGGGTGAGACATGAGACATGGCATATACTTTCTTTATCTGCTATTCTCTTAAAGTTATTTTTTTCCTTTAGTGCATAATAATGACACTATCTCCAAACACTTTTTCCTGGGACTATCTTAAAATCCATGAAATAGTTCCAGTTTAGAATGTGCTGTCTCTCTTTACAATATTTTCCTTTCTAGAACCCCCTTACTTCCTCAGTTTCAGCTGTATAATGTTAAACAAAAGATTAAACAGTAAAACTAAACAAAACAAGAAATAATAAGGGAAGAACTCATGAGTAGGAGTAAGACAGCTTTTTTTTTAATTAGTTAAATTTAATATTATAAGACTTTGAGGAGTGCTTTCTGTTCAAGATATTTCTGTATGAGATTTGGGAGCTACTAGTCTTAAAAGTACTGAAGAGCATTGGTGTCACTCTGGAGACTAAGGTGCATCTGATACAGGCATTGGTCTTTGCAACCACTTGTTATGCATCAGAGAGTTGGACAGTGACTAAGGAGGATAGAAGGAGAATTGATG